ATCTGCCTGAGTACTGAGCTTACATTCCTCTCTCCTCTTTAACATTTTATGTTCTGCGTCATGCTTGAGATATTTGACGTCTATAGTAAGATAAGACAGACTCTGCCTTGTGTAAAGATGCATCTCTAGAAACCTTGGATCTGATGCTGTTTAATCTGGTCAGCTTATGAAATTGAAATCAGGCTTATAAGTCTGCTTTTTTCCCCCTCTAAAGGCAGAAGGGAAAAATTATAATAGTCATTGGATTTAGTCTTCATTTGCTTAAGAAAAAATAGGTCTAAAAAAAATAGGTCTGAGTTGATTGGTGTTCTTACGGTCCCAAGTTTCCCAGACTTCAAAGAGCGCCTGTTCCTGGAGGTTTGGTATTTCTAGAGTCATGCACAAAGGCCAGATTTAATTGGCCTCTGCTTTTCTGTCTCTTTATCTGGAGTCTTCAAGTTGTTCTTCTGTTTGGTAAATATGTGTATTAGTTTCCTAGGGTTGCTGTAACAAGTTACCACAAACTGGGAGGCTTAAAACAAGAAATTCTTTTTCAGTTCTGGAGGCCAGAAGTCCAAAATTGGCCAGGCTGCACTCCTTCTAGAAATTGTAGGAGAGATTCTGGTTTTTGCTTCTTCCAGGTTCTGGTGACTGTTAGCAGTTAATTGACTTGTAGATCAATGAGTCACTCCAATCTCTGCTCTGTGATCACACTGCCTCCTTCTCCTCTTCTGCCTCAAATCTCCCTCTGCCATATTCTTGTATTGCTCCCTCTCCCCCCAATATTCCAGGATGATTCCTTCATCTCAGAAATTCTTAAATGTACATCTGTAAAGATCTATTTTCCAAATAAGGTAACATATACAGGTTCTAGAAATTAGAATGTAAACAGATCTTTTTTTTTGGGGGGGGGGGTGCACCATTCAACCCACTACAATATATTTCCAGGTTACTTATGACACTATGCAGGACAGATTTTTATCAGCAGTTATATTAAACTAGAGGCCCAGTGCACGAAATTGGTGCACAGTTAGGGTCCCTAGTGGCCACCGGCCAGTGGCCAGGGCCTCCCTTCATTTCATGCCACCCCATGGTGGTCAGCACATGGCATAGTGAGCAAACAAACTCTCGGTAGGTCAAACTCCTGAGGGGACACTTTGCATATTAGACTTTATATAGAGAGATATGAAGACATGACTTGTGCTATGTGATTAGATACTGTGGTGTTATTAAACCCAAAGCATGTTTTATAGTCACTTGATTTATATTGTGAAGTATAGCACATAGAAAATAATGACATGGTGCCCAGCTTGTGTTGCTCAGTGGTTGAGCATTGACCCATGAACCAGCAGGTCACGATTTAATTCCCGGACAGCACATGCGCAAGTTGTGAGCTCAATCCCTGGTGGGGGCTTGTGGGAGGAAGCTGATTTGTTTCTCATTGATGTTTCTATCTCTCTATCTCTCTCCCTGCCTCTCTCTAAAATCAATAAAAACATATTTTTAAACGAAATATTTTAGGAGGTTGAAAAATACTTGGCTCTAATATTCTTTTTTTTTTTTTTTAATCCTCACCCGAGGATATTTTTCCATTGATTTTTAGGGAGAGTGGAAGAGAGAGGGAAAGACAGAGAGAAACATCAACATGAGAGAAACACATTGATTGGCTGCCTCCTGCTCGAGCCCCAACCAGGGCCCAGGCCGGGGAGGAGCCTGCAACCAAGGTACATGTCCTTGACCGGAATCGAACCCAGGACCCTTTGGTCTGTAGGCCAGTGCTCTATCCACTGAGCCAAACTGGCTTGGGCTATAGAGCTAAGATAGGATTCCCCACACTACAGTCTTTTGTAGTTTAGCACATGTGTAAATTGTGACCACCACTTAACCACTGGCTCATTAAAGGCACTCTAGTAATTTATAGAAATGGATTAGAGCAATGGTTCTCAACCTTGGCTGCACATTAGAATCACCTGGGAATCTTTTTAAAATCCTGATTTCTGGGCCTCATCCTCCGGAAATTCTGTTTCTTTGTTATGGGGTGAGGCCCAGAAATCAGGATTTTAAAAAGATTCCCAGGTGATTCTAATGTGCAGCCAAGGTTGAGAACCACTGGATTAGAGTGTTCAGCAAAATGGTTAATTCTCTTTCTTCCACTAGCCACCCAGAACACTGAGCTCTGTGCAAAACATGTTAAATGGCTATGTCTATGATCTTCTCTTACCCCCTTATACAAAGCATTATGTATTAAATCACCAGTTTTTGTTTTCTGTAGATTTAATTTTTCCCTGCAGAGCACCCAATTAACTTTAATTGGCTAGGATTCTTGGTTAAGAAGGTCATATTGTTGCCACCTGGCCACCAGCATGTTTAAGGTTGGTGTCCTTCTCTACTTTGCTCAGATCATATTACTAATTCTAAATCAGAAGTGGGAAACCTTTTATCTGCCAAGGGTCATTTGGATATTTATAACATCACTAGTGGCCCGGTGCACAAATTTGTGCACATTGAAAGGAAATTAATTAGAAGAAATATTTTAGTATCGCTATTTGCCCTTTATAATAGAAGTGTCAACCAAATTCACAATCGACAATGACAGATCAAAGCACACACGTGCGATTGGCGCCAGCGAGAGCTTTATATGTATTGTGCATGCACAAGTCAACTTAGCCTTTTATAGATA